TATCAACCCACATATAATATAGTTATCACTAGGGATCGGGATTTCTAGGAGTTTGCATGTTTTTAAATAATCATTAAAAACATAGCTAAGTAATATGCAAATTTGTTTCATAACAATACAACTTTATATTTAAAATGTATAGTTGCATATTTTGCACATTTGACCATTTTTCATTTATAAGTGTATATTTAACTAATTTTCATTTTATAAGTGCATATAAGTGTTTATATGAAGGAGTAAGTTTTTTAATTTTATAAAAAAAAATATGAATTTATTTCTTCATCAATCACGTGACTTGGAACTCAAGGTGTTCCACTAACTAAAACCATTAAAATAATTAAAACTATAAAAGAACACATACATTTTACAAAAAATTAAGGATCTGCATAAGCTAAGGCAATTGATGACAAAATTAAAGAAGTTTTGGAGAAAGAGGTTGGATTTATCAACTATAAAAAATATCGAACATTTTAAATGGACAAAATTAATCTATGGACGGATTGCTCACAGATGTTAATAGTAGTGACCTACCATTTTTTTTAGTTTGCATCAATAATTTCCGTAGACGTGGAACGTTACTTTTCTAAATATAAAAATATTTTGGCTGATAACAAGCAGTCATTCAAACTTCCCAACTTAAGAAAATATCTTATAGTCCAGTTTAATGCTCAAGGTAATTAGTAATAAATTAAAAATAGAAAAAATGTATTAAATTAAATTTGTTTTTAAAACAAATTTAAATTTTTTGTTTTTGATAAAAACTCAATATAAGATAAAAACAAATCTGAAAAAAAGAAAATAATTATCTCAGATCATTATATCTATCATATATACAAATATTATTATTATTTATTACTAATTTTATTTTATTATTTAATTAATTATTACAAATAAAATTTTTTTTAACTGCATATTTTAAAAATAAATTAAATATGCTATAAATTAATTAAAAAAAAAAATAATAAATAAATAAATAAATTTAATACATTTTATTGATTCTTTAGGACATAAATGCATGCATATTTTAAGATTTTTAAGAGCATGAAGTCCCTAGTTATCACAAATAAATTAAAATACAGAACATAATGGTTTCTTGATATCAAAAACATCCATTTTTTTTGTTGTTATTTGTAACGATTTATTTCTTTATCATACGTTTGGATTGGAGTAGTATTTCAAGTTCGATTATCTGTTTTCGAAAATATAGGTAGTTTAATTATTTTGATAAAATTAAAATTATCTAGAGATCTGATTAGTTGTTTTTATATGATAATATTGCAATGCTTCTTGTTACATTCTAACTATTATTTGCAATTGGTTCAGAAAAATGAACAAGGAGTCAGTACACGTAATAAATATTTAAATATTTACAACAGTTGATTACCAATGCAACAAATATATAAAGTTAAATATTACGTCATGACGTTTTAATTGTTATACAATTTTGATTTTATTTATGCTATGATGCATTGATTCTTCGTTAGTTATTATTTATAAAAAATGCAATTGTTAGATTATAGCATTAGACATATTCATATATTAGAACGATAATATTCATGAATATAAGTATTACAAGTATAAGGACAAATTTTAATCACAACTTTTAGGAACAAAAATAGAATATTTATATTTTTATACATTGAAATTCTAATATATATTATTGATCATAATTATTAAAATAATTTTTAGGTGCTTTCTCATCACATTATAATACCACATAATTTTTAAATATTATTTTTGTTGACACAAAAAAAAAAAAAAATCATAATTAAAATTGACAAATATTATCAATATTTTACTATTATTTTAACGATTTTTTACTTGACATAAATAATATCAACGGGAATTTATAATGTATCTAGACATTCGTTTGTCTAACACAGAGAAAAATATTACACTTTTCTCTAGATAATTTGATCTAATAATAGACCACTGAAGATAAAACTCTAGTGGTAGCATTGCATGTTTACAATTTAAATTACCTTCTATTATGAAATTATTTTGAGATTCACCAATTAAACCTATTAAATAGGTATATAAAAATATACATCGGTTATGTAGTGATACGTTTATGCAATAATCGCAACTTTTGGGTTTTATGTTACTCATTAGGCTGTTAAAATGTGATTTTGTTTGAATTTAAATTAATATCGTAAATTTTCACTTATCTTTCGAGTTCCGACAAAAAGTAGAAAGTTTCATATGTATAAATTATTTGTCAATTATTGTTAAATTATATATGTATAATTCATCATATTATAGTGAAACCAGAAATCAAACTGGTTTATTTTACATATAAATGTAAATTGTATTTTCTACTTTTATAACGATTTTGTATTTTTTAAGATATTTTTATCCTACTATTATTATAGTCTTTTATTAAAATTGCATAATAATATTTTGTATTTAGCTATTGTATTTTATAATTTAAAGGCTATGAATATGTGATGACGTAATAATGTAATTAAATATGATATTTAAATCGGTACTATTGTTTATTCGTATGAAACTATTAGCTATATATAATTTCGCATATAATTAAATCTGCTTGGAATTGCAGTAAAATTACTGCGTCTTGAGTAAGTTTATTTATATAAAAAGATTTACTTAATTCGATATCCATAGCCTACATAATTTATAACTGGAGTAAATAAAGTTTTTGTATCCAAGACAAGTTTTCTCAATGTCCAAAGTCGGTTTTTAACAGTTCACAGTAAATCTAATACTTCTTCTTCTACTATGCCTTTCTCCCAAATATTTGGGACCAATCATACTTGTTCTAAACCTCCACTTGTCTCGATTTTCTACATCCCCTACGCACACACCAACGACCCTCATATCATTCTCAATCGTATCCAACTAGTTATACGACACTTGGGAGCGGACTCTTGGACGCGGAATATTAGGCGTGAGGCAATAAGATACAAAGACAATTAAGTGCAGGACATTTAGTCGCAAACAATTTCTTAATATTTTATTCTAATAGCAGTATATGATAAAAATATAATAGGGTACTGAATTTTCTTATTACTGTTTAATATATATACACTTTAATTTATTGGAATATTAATTAATTATATCAATATTCACACTTAAAAATAAATAACAAAAAAAATAATTAAATTATATTTAAAAAACTGAATGGTTATGGTTTTTTTTTTTATTAATAGCTTTTAGTTAATTAAATGGATTATATTTAATGGTTATGATACATTTTGCAAAAATCTTTCAAAAAATCATTAAAATTTCGGTTATCAAACTCATTACAGATCGATTCTATTCTAGATGTAGTGTCTTTATTATTCTTAAATTTTTGACTAGGTTCTGTTTCAGCCAAATATTGATGCATTTTTAAACGGATAAGTTTTTCTTCTTTTTTTAGTAAGTCAATAAACTTTCATATTGAAGGATCAAGAACATTTAATGTTGAACTAAATGTATTATGCCATCCTTCTACCGAATTATTGGTCTTTGGTGTATGATATTGAATTACATGATAACAATTCCATAGCTGTATTGGAAATCTAGGACTCCATCGTTTTTTATTACAACTTAATTGCCCGAACCATGAACATTTAAAAAAATCTAGAAAATCTGATAACAAGGTTTTATATTTTATATAAAATTTAGTTTCCGAAATAGCTCCATATGCACTAATTACAAAATCTGGGGGAAGGGGGGGACAAATGAAACAAACGGACGTAGATATTCTCTGTTTTATTTGGAAGAAGAATGAATAAAAAAAGGCAAAACACTACTGTATTGTACGCCATGAATAGTATATAATTAATAAAAACTTGACGGTGTACTAGAAACGGTGCATCCGAATCGCATGCCAAAAAAATAAACTTAAATTGGAATATCTGAATTGCATGTCTTAGAGGGGTCTGTCCGAATTGCATGTTGTATACCTCCAAGTTTATTTATCATGCACCTATGTGTACAACTTAAATTTTATTTTCGACTATTTTAATTTTTTAAAAAAAACGGATGAATAGAAATTGATTAATTTCTAGATTGAAATATTTTTATTTCCGAATAAACATTTTACCAAATTGGAGAAGGCAACACTGTAAATATTAAACATTAAATAAAAAAATTGTAGTTTAAAATAATCAAGTGAATTTATTTTACATTTTTACATGGCATTTAAAATTGTAAAATGTTTACTCGAATATAAAAAATACTTCAATATAGAAACTAATCAGTTATAACAACCATATCATAAAGAGTTTAAGTCAAAATACAGTTTAAGTTGTGCACATAAGTGCATGATAAATAAACTTAAGTCAACTTGTGGGTACACGGAATACCCCTCTAACAAATAGCATGCAATTCGGACATTTTTTTTTTGACATACAATTCGGATGCAGCCACTAGAAAATGTTTCATCTGCGTTCCAATTGTCACAAATAGTCATCATATTTAAATTTTTTTCGTTCGAAAAAATTAAAATCTGTGTTTTCCCTAAATTTTCATCGTTACTATTATATAACAAAAATGGATTACCATCAATTGTAGTTTTATACTCCGCAGAAATTATTAACTCATTTAAAGTTCTAGGATTTTCTGGTACCGAATCTAATCCTTTCTAACGAATACGCTGTATTGTTTATTTTTCGTCGAAGTAACTCCTGGTAATTTACTTGCAACAGATTCAGTTACCTATATAATCATTAATAATAATTATGTACCTATACTTTATAAAGTATAATGTGGATGACATTGTACTATTTGGAGAATCGAAAATGGAATTAGAAGGGGCGATACGAAAGCTCATACTGTCAAGTAAAAAGATGGGACTTAAAATAAATGAAAACAAGACTAAGTATATGCTAATGAGTAGACATCTAACTCAGTTACAAAATGTGAGCATTGATCATTTCTCTTTTGAACAAGTTGAGAATTTTAAGTACTTAGGTCCTAATATAAATCATAAAAATAATATGCATAACGAGATTAAGTCCAGAATAAGTGCAGCAAACCGAGGATACCAGGCAATGAAAAAAATGTGTACATCAAAACTACTGTCAAGAGACACAAAGAAAAAACTATACATAGCCTACTTACGCCCTATTGTTATGTACGGATGTGAGACATGGTCCACGACGCAGGGTGACAAGAATAAACTATTGACTTTTGAAAGGAAAATACTTAGAAAAATATATGGGCCTATATTAAACCCCAATACTGGTGAATACGAGCGAAGAAAAAACACTGACTTACACAGTCTGTTTAATACAACCAATTTAAAAGATTTCCTGAAGTCGAAAAGATTAGAGTGGGCTGGTCATGTATGGCGTGCAGAGGGTAGACTGATAAGACAGGTACTAGTTAACAAATCAAATAAGAAACGTCCTGTGGGAAGACCAAGACAACGGTGGTTGGACCGAGTAAAGGACGACTTGAAGACATTACGCAATGGAGCAAGTATTGAGGGTGCAGAGGATCGGGAAGGTTGGGGAGCTTTGGTAGAAGCTGCAAAGCGCCTAAATGGCACGTGAAGCAAAAAAAAAAAAAATACTTTATAAAATTGAACATACATATTTATAACATTTAAACATTGTGTAAAGCAGATTAATAGATAAGTATCAATATTGAACGATCGTTATTATTATTGTGTATTATCGATGTTGGTCATATACTATGATATATCGAATAAAAGTAACTGAACGACTTGGCAGTCTGATATGATAGTCTGACTCAATCGTTCTAGTCATCGTTAGTCTATCGTGTCTATTTTTTCTCATCTTGTCCACTATAGACGCAAATCTACATACCGATATATTTACCATTACACTTATTAAATTTTAATAATAATAGTTAATATCAATTATGCATAATAATTATCAAAAGTTAAAATAACCAGACCAAACGTCACAATTTCTCGGATTCTCAATATTCATGTGTTACACATATGTACCAACAATATTAATATCATATGAATAAATGTATAGTGTATGTTTGCTATTTTATATCGTAATTTATGAAATATTTTCACACTCCCATATTAGCGATAACATTAAATAACATAAGAGACGAAAATATAAATGTTAAACAATAATACATAGTAATAGATTTTGTGTTAAATGAAGTTGGTAATACAAATTCTTAGAATAAAAATATCAGTAACGATAAGACTCGGTCTCTATTTTTGAAAATATTATAATTTATTGTATATATGATTATTTAAAATTTTTTTTTTACGAAAATTGTTTTTATATAATTAGAATTACTAACTGTTCATATGACTTATATAGCATAATAAGTACAATGTTATGATCATTTTCACAGATATTAAAAAAAGTAGAACAAATTATGTGACATCTAATAATATTGTTTGTGCAAACTTTCACAAAAAAAATATTTTTCCCACGTTGAGTTGGTATGATATACCTACCTACTTGTAAAATTGTAAAAAAAAAATATATTCTATTTGTAAAATTTTGATTATAAGAAATTCAAAGAAACGAATTATATATATTTTAAAAATGACAATATTCCTTATGCTTTAATACGTATTTAATATCGTATTTTTTGTAAACTTATGTTGATGAAAGCTTATTTGCCATAAAAAATTTAATTAAATCGAAGGAAAGAAATGTTTTGACCGATGATACAATTGCTTCTTGTGTTTCACTAAGAATGACTAAAATTTTATAAAAATAATGTAATAAATCTGTAATTTTATTTTTATTCTTAGAAAATATAATTTTCTTTGGGCACCTGAATAATTTTCAAACCCTTAATTTGACACTTGAACCAAAAAGGTTCACCACCCTTGTATTATACTCGTACTTTCAACGGATCGATCCATCTAGTGTGGCGATAACAGCGTGCGTTTGGGATACAGATTTCAAATTCTTAGTGATGTAATAAACTCGAGACCAGCATTCTTACATAAATTCAATTTTACCCGTTCCAATCCCACTAACACTAAAAAAATAATTTGTTATGTGAAAATTGGCATGATTAATTTTGTACAACTATTATTAATATTGTATTTTGTTTATTTTTTGCAGATTTAAATTATACCATGTGTCAATAGCAAACTTCGATCGCTATAAAAAAGGAAAAACAGCAGGGAAAGATGGCATATACACAGAGTTCCTTCATCACCTGGGGTCCAAAACTATTATATGGGTTACTGATGTTCTCTTCCAAATTTTCTGTTCGGGGAAATCGCCTAAATTATGGAAAGAATTGGTTGTAGTGGCGATTCTCAAGTCAGACAAATCCACTGACAGCCCGAAAAGCTATCGACCCATATCTTTATTAAGCTTAATATTAAAACTAATGGAAAGATTTATCCTGAAACGAATATCACCCATTATCGAAAAGGCAATACCCAGCTACCAGAGAGGTTCTAAGCACTCAAGAGATTGCTGTGAACAAGTTGCAGCTCTGACATCGCACATAGAAAAATGCTTTAATGACTGCCGGAAAGCCGGAGCCGCTTTTTTATTGACCTCAATATCGCCATGGTAGTACATGAGTAGTACATGGATATGACACATGTACTACTGAACAAGCTGACAAAAATCATTCCTTGTAAATGGACTATAAAATACACAGATGATGTTTTGAGCAACAAAAGATTCCACGTAATAATGGGAAACCAAAAATCTAAACCTAAAACATTGAACAACGGACTTGCACAAGGCTCAGTTCTAGTCCTAGTTTTGTTCAACGTATACATAAGTGACCTACCTGAGACTAAATCAAGAAAATTTGCATATACGGATGACCTCGGAATTGTTGCGAAGGTATCCTCTCTTAACACGATAGAAACAACCCTAACAGAAGATTTAAAGTCACTCGAGGCCTACTACAAAAAATGGAGGCTTAAGCCTAATTCACTAAAAACAGTAGTATCGCCGTTCACTTTGAATAACAGGGAATCCCATCGGCAATTAAAAGTGGATTCTGTGGTCAACTAATAAAGAACGGTCATTCTCGACCGCAAGTAACTTATTTACGTTTTGAAGGAGAGGTTTTTCGTCAAAAATGTTTGTCTCCCCCCCCTTCCATGAATATATTTAATCTTAGAATATTATCTTGGATAAAAAAAAAATTAACCAATTTATATTATTGTTCATCAACATGAAATGGAATGTGTAAAAATCTGATGCCGACCCTAAAAAAATGCTGCCCGGGACAATCGCCCTCTCTAGACCCTCCCCCAAGATATATATTTCACTGACGCATACTCAATTTGTGGTTACGTTACTGATAAACACTGCCCGCGTATTGTAATCGTGTATAATGCAAACACGTACATACGCTTCACCCCGAACGTGAAATCGTTTAATGAACTACGCGATGAACGATGTTCGAAACCCGTGTCAATAGTAAATTGTGCAACCGCCGGTTGCATTGGAGTAAAATCCATTTATTATATAATATAATATCCGAGATCTTACAAATCGTTTTATCGCAGCACTTTTAACTACTTGTTTTCAACGGCTTTAATGGGTACTTAATTTTCGCTTAAATTAGCGTATATTTGTGCGAATTGTTTTTTTCTGTTTTTTATTACGTACAATAATTGCTCGTTTGCTTGCGAATTTAAACTACGTTTTAATACACGAATAATTATAGTGTTACAACAGTATACCTAGTGATAAACAATATTTCCATTGACGTCGATAACCGTACACGCGACTGACGTAGGAACGTGTGCAGGGTTGATACCGACATGCGATAGGTGGCATTGTTCGCTTCAAGATAATGTATGCTTTCCACAACACGTATATAATAAAAAATAATAATATGATTTATTTCTACAGCCAGTGGTGTAAGTTGGATCCAATTTCTGGTGATGCAGAGGCATGTTCTCAACTTATAATTTCCAACACACCAATTTTCCAATTTCCTAAGTAAAATTCTTCCCAATAATTTATATATTTTCCCATATATTTCTTTAAATAACAAATAAATTTTAAATTATTTTAGCATTAAAACCTTTATTATTATAATATTAATAAAAAAAAAAACAATTTTTTTTGTTTTTATTATGCTGATTTTCTTGGCTCTTGAAAATAATATTATAGGTATACAAATTTAAATGATTTTCTGGTGTTGCAAGTGCCACATTTACACTACCCAATTTACGCCACTGTCTGCAGCTTCGAAACTAAAGAACAAACAAATTTTCTTCAGGGTATAGGTATCTACAAATAAAAGTGTAATTTTATTAATAATGAATCCAAGGTGAGTTCAATTTTTATTTTTCGAATTATTATTAAAAGCATGAAAAAGTAAGGAACAGATAAGTATAATACAATTAAATTTTTTTTTTTTAATTTATTATAAATACTCGTATATTATGATAACGATACGTATATTTAGTTTTCTCTCATGAACAGCGATTAATACAATAAACTATTTGAGTCAGTAAGGTTTTTATTTTTTTTTATGATTTGATTTAAAATTATTGTATGATGGATTTAGACCTGGCGTTCGTATACTCGTATCAACATTTTACTGTCCCCGGGGAGAGCAGAACAAAGATACAAAAAACAGGACTGTCCCGATCAACTCGGGACGTACGGTCACCTTAATAATCCTTTATAAATGTTCAACATGCTATTGCGTAACGGTTCCAAACCAAGGGGTGATTACCCCAAGGAGTAAAACAGGAATTTTTTGAGGGCTAATTAGACTAATTTTTTTTTCATTTCATGTACTTAATTCGTATTATTATAATAATTATTAATATTTTATTATTACATTCAAATTATATTTATGCAGTACACTCTCAGTTATCCGTGATCTTCTCCGAGTACACACGCATAAATAAAAAATATCAAAATATAATGGTTATTTACATAATATATACCTTTGTATATGTTACGGGTAGAGTACGAAAATCGGATAATGTACACATTACCTGAGTAATGTGAACACTACTTTTGCCTATCAGATAAAGTAAACATATTTATAAAACATTTATTTTGTAGGTACATTCAGTGGCGTAGTTACGGGGAGGGTGTAAGGGGTTATCCCCCCCTCACACAGATTTTTTTTTTATGACATTTGATTATTATTTATTAATATTTATATATTATAGTAAAATATTTTGATTTTACTATGATTAGGTATATATTAAAAATTGTTTCATAACAATAAAAGTTCATATTTAAAATTTATAGTTGCATATTTTGCATATTTGACCGTTTTTCATTTATATGTGCATATTTGACAATTATTTATACAAAGGAGTAAGTTTTTTAATTTTATAAAAAATTATGGATTTATTTCTTCATCCATCACTCGGCTTGAAATCCAAGGCATGGCACCAATTGAATCCATTAAAATAATTAAAACTACAAAAGAAAATATACATTCTACAAAAATTGAAGGATCTGCACATGCTAAGGCAATTGATGACAAAATTGAAAAAGTTTTGAAGAAAAAGGTTGGATTTTATCAACTACAAAAAATATCGAAAATTTTAAATGGACAAAATGAATCTATGGAAGGATTGCCTGTAGATATTAGTAGTAGTTACTTACCGCTTTTTAAGTATACATCAATAAGTTCCGTAAACGTAGAACGTTTCTTTTCTAAATATAAAAATATTCTGGCTGATAGCAGGCAGTCATTTAAATTTTCCAACTTAAGAAAATATCTTATAGTCCAATGTAATACTCAAGGTAATTAGTACTATAGTAAAAATAGAAAAAATGTTTTAATTACATTTATTTTTAAAACAATTTAAATTTGTTGTTGTAGACAAAAACTCAATATAAGATGAAAACAAATTTGAAAAAAAGAAAATAATTATCTCAGATCATCATATCTATCATATCTAAAATTATTATTATTATTTATTATTAATTAAATTTTTTTAATTAATTAATTATTACAAATATAATTTTTTGAAATGCATATTTTAAAAGCATATTTATTGATTAGGGCATAAATGTATACATATTTTAAGGTTTTTAAGGGCATAAAGTCCCTTGCCCTAATTGTTACAGATGACTTCGTTTTATGATATACTAAGAACACTTAAAAACTTACTCTTAAACACCCCCCCTCCCCCCAGAAAAAAATTGTATCTACACCACTGGGTACATTAACCGGGTTATTTGTATACTATCTAACTTTGAGTGGACAAAGTTTTTTTCATAAAATAAAATATGACAAAATATCAATTGTAGATTACAGGGACAGGAACCGAATCGAAAAGAACCGATTCTGGAACCGGAACGTTTTAAATAATAGAAACCGAAACCTTTATTTTGATAAATGAAGTACCGGAACCGAACCGGAATTTTTAAATTATAAAGGTTCTTTTAGGTTCCAAAATTCAATAGTTTTATTTAGCATAGATTATTTTTAGTTACTACTTTGTTTATAAATAATCAGGGATCCATTCTTATTATGTTTATACCTAGAACTATACAAAGTTCTTATTCTTATTTTTTACCTATTTAAAATGATATTTTTGAAGTGTTTATTACGTGTATATTTATCACAAAATAACATTATATAGAAATGTTATTCCCAGTATATACCATAATTGGAATCTATATTATTTTTCAAATAAAACGATGATATTAATAAAATAGACACACTACCCGCTAGTGTAAATTGTAGTTCATAGTTTATTGACGATTGACGAGTATTGTAAATATTTTTAACTACTGCTTCTATGGAGCGAAGGCTATTATTTATAATTTAATTATTTTTAACCTTTTTATAGAATGCAATTTTTAATTTAAAACTTTATTATCTTCTAAATTCTGATACATAACGATTTATTATAGTTTTGCCAACTATAACAGATTTTATAACATTATAACATTATAACATTATTGTTTTGTGTATTTTGAAGGGGGCAACGTTGATTGTCAGCAATAGATATTAAAATAATTTTTCGTTTACTAATATACTACACTAGCGTTTCTCAACCTTTTTTCATTTACGTACCCCTTGACCTCTCACCACTGCTTTACGTACCCCCAAATGTCAATTTATTATATATTCACAACACAAATAAGATATTATGAAATAAGTTCGATGATGGACAATTTCAAAATAATATTTATTAATTAGTTTAATTAGCCATACAATGTACGTATATATATATAAAAGTAATATAAACTTTACAATTTAATGTAGTAACTACACTAACAAGTGGACGATGGTATATTATACTATTTTTCCTATTTTTTTTTTTATTGATTAGAATAATATTATATTTTACTGATAACAAGAATCGGTACCTTTTAATAATTTTCATCATACAACCGGAACCGAACCTGAACAGTTATTTTATTTTCTGAGAACCAGTACGGGAACCGATACCTATAAATTTAAATGGTTCCAGTTCCTGGTAGATAATATTAATAAAATACGAGTATAAATTATATGTTATGATATATCGTGTACATTGATATTGTATAAAAATTTAAAATTTCACTACATTGATATCGGTTTTCGAGTTCATTAATTCGGTTTATTAATGTTTAATAATT